CAATTACTTGCTCTAGACTTCTGCTTTCAGACGTACTTAATTATGAAGTTATTACCCTATCAGATAATAATCCAATGCAGAGGCAATCATGTAATATAATACATTATTTAATATATATTATATATATATATATATATATGTATTTTGATATATAATTAAAATTACAACCGGCCCGTTGAGTGCAACCATAATGCTGATGTGGCCCGGGATGAAATTGAGTTTGACACCACTGCTCTATGGGCTCTATGGCCGGTCCGCGCACCCCCACCTTTAAGCGGCGGGTTCCAGCAGGAAAAGCTGGAGGCCGGAAAAGAGAGAGACAGGTAGCGCGCAAAAGTAAAAGTGGAACCGAGAGTGGTATGCCGCTGCTGCGGCTTATATTCAGGTGCGCCTTATAGTCCGACAATTACGGTACTTTCCATTCATGTTGGATTACCTCAATATCAAGCACAATGCATATAAATATCAATAAGATGTTTTTTACTTGTGCATTATGTAAAACAACAGATCCATGTGACCTTAGAAAAGAAGAAACCAAGATATTTAGGATCAGAAATGATTTTATTTGTAGGAAAAGCTGCCTTTCATAAAGCAGATTCAGGCAGTAGTCTATACACCAACACTGAGCAGAAATACAATCCGATCCTTTTACAACAAACACTATATGTTCTTTTTAGTTTGACTAACTCTGTAATCCTGCCAGTAATCCCCACTTTTTAGAAATGAAACAGTAATCTGATTACACCTTTTTTATTACTTCCAAAACACGTCGCACATTGTTCCTAATACAGCACATAGCTTGACATGTTCTTTATTCAGTGTTTGCCACTAGAACAGTGCCATTGTATGTATTATATATAACACAACTGTATTCTAAGTGCCTCCTGCAGACATCCTGCTGAACACAGACACACAGCTGCGAGAGGGGATTCAGCTAGCGACTGAATACGGAGACGACAGGTTGGGACGTGGGCGGGACGTTACCAGGAGTTCAACGTAAAGCCAGCCCACATTTTAGTGATGTCGTCATGGATCAGCTCCGTTTTACCCCCGTTTTTAGAGATGTGGGTAAGAGAGGGTTTTATTTTCTGACACTTTCTGAGTCTCCTTACACACCGGGGACACATATTTATGTATAAAATACATCAAAAAGTGCCTTTTGCATAATAGGTGACCTTTAAAGTGTGTAAAATAAGAGTGTAGGAGATAAATACAATCAGACAGTTTAATAAAGGGAATATTTATTGAGCCTCAGTGTAGCGTAGTACAGTTAGTTCACTTGTTGGTTAAATGACAGCACAGATATACAGTGGTCCAGCAGTCAGTGTGTCTGCTGCTCTTATCAAAATAGCTTTCCTCACCATATTACTGGAATATGTGATGAATTAAAGGCAACACAGATGTACACATGGGTCAAATTTCATTTAGCAAAATACAATTTTGAAATCCTATTGTTTTGTTTGTAAAATACTGAAAAGGCATTAGGGCCACATGTGAAATTATTTTTGAGATCCGAGCAAATCAAAAAAATGCCAGAATTCTGAGATGAATCCCATTAGATGAATTCTTCTTAAATGAAAATCAAAAGGGTCCTAATGATCTTCTGAGTACTCTCCTTGGCACAACACTACCATCATTCCAATCAAAAGGAAGTGAAATGGATGGTTTTATTTCATTTTTGCAGATAATGTGCAAACTTAACTGTCAACAAGCTTTTGGAACGCCTATTTTTAGTTTGTTAGTGAAAGACATTTTATATGAACTCATTAATTAATTAACAATATCATTCTATTGAAGAAAGGGCAGCAACTAGTATTCTCATTATTGATTTCTCCACCTCTAGTTTCTGAAAAAGTCTCAAACAATAATATCAAAATATTTGCAAATATATATTCTGTTGACCGATTGTTTCAGCTCTTTATAAAAAGGCTCAGGATTCTAATTTCATTGCCTTTCCAAAACCTAAAGGGGAGCATGTAATGTTCACTGTAATATCTTTATGGCGGTGTTATGCTTAGGGATACACTGGAAATCACTTTTTATTGTTGGTAGTGGTTCTGCTTTGTAATACAAATTAGATTTTTACACTTGTATTGTATAGAAGTGTACACAAACGCTTCCATCTGACAGGCTGTGATACTAACGGTGCTTTCTGGATAACAAATGATACACATATGCTGTGAGAGAGAATGTGTAATACAAGTCACATATGTTTAAACACAACAGAGTGTAAGAAAAACATGCTATTGTGCACTTTCACTGTTGTACCTTTAACTCTAAAGCATGACATCAATTCAAGTCCAGAAATCACATACTGGTAGGAACGAGTAAAGTTTGAAACAAGCATCATGGCACAGATAAGAACCAAAGGCAACAAACTTATCATGACACATGGACGTGTGCTGCTGGCGTTATGTGTCACATTTCTGATTCATGGAACGAGCAAGGAGCATATTGAGTCTTTCCTCAATGTCAAGGACATCATGCATTGTACATGGTCAAGTCTTCAACAAATGTCTCTTCTCTTCCACAGGGCATCGGCTCTTATGAACATATATCAAGTACAAAACACGTTTATAAAGTCTACTTTCCAGCACTGTGAACCCGTTGTTGAGTACCCCAACGTTTTATGTTAGAAATGTATAGTAGAACAATATAGTAGGAGATAGAAACTGCAGGATGCTAACTCACATATGTTGGGTCATTTGCACAATTAGCATAAGTAGAATTAATTAGCTTTAAATAGCATATGCAGACAATAGCTATGAAATAGCTTGGCTGATTTCTGCAGTTGTTATGGTATATTGAATATGTAATCCATTTCTGAAATGTTAAGGATAGCAAATGGAAGTTTTGAGTCCCCTACAACTTTAAAATCGACCCAAAATGAATGAAGATCAGCCCACCGGGAGTACAAGTATGGCCACTTTCTGGTTAAAACTGCCATTATGGAACCTGGAAAGGTCAGGAATTGATTCAACATCCTCAATCACCCCCAAAGCCCCTCCAAAATTGGCCAACTTGGCAAACCCAATTTAGCTATTGTCTGCATAGGCCATAATGCTAATTAATGCAACTTATGCCAACTGTACAAATTGCCCAACATTTGCAGATTAGCTTCCGGCAGTTTCTATGTGCTGGGGATCCCTACTTTACATTTCTAACATAAAACTTTTGGTTACTCTTTCCGGGTTCACAACAGCACTCTGCGCTGCAAACAGACTGATATGTAGAGAGAGGCACTCACAGCTGAGTGTTCCTCTATGGCTGTTAGATGCTCGTTCCTCAAAAAAGACTCCCATCGCATTCCATTCATTTAGTCTTCGGTTTGAAAATATATTTTTTTATTTTTAAGAGACAACATTTCTCATGGCTTGGATACGGTGTAGTTACTGCTTCCTCAGAACGTCTCCATATGTGGATGTTAGCCTTCTGTTGAATAAACCCCGCCCCAAAAACAGGGATGTGATGTCACAGGTCTGATTGGTTGGTTCATAAATAGATACTAAGTGGGTTAATCACAGACTGATAAGCAATATTGTGGTCGTAGGATTTCTGTACAAACTATCAATTCAATCTCATACCTGCTTTCAACTTTGTGCCGTGTTTTCTAGTGGTAACGTTAGTTGGAGCCAGCTGGAGTTGGGACAGAAACCCATGCTTATTTTCAGTGCTTCAAGCTTCAGTTGAATTCAATTAAAGATGGGATGATATTTAGCAGGTAGTGTTTGAAGTGCACTTCGACTGGATAGACCTTTATGATTCCAAATTCGCTTAATATGGATAACTTTGAATGTTTACCTCTTAGAAGCTGAAGATTTTTATATCTGTCGTACTAAAAACCTTGATTCACATTTCTTTCCTTCTCTCCGAGGCATTCGGGCTGTGTTGGTTTTGTCGATTCCCTCTCAAAATTCACCAAAGGCAATAACCTGGTCCCAAACTCTCTCAGGGTGAATCAGAAAACAACGTTTCCCTAAGTCAGGAAATGAAATGTTAGCTAAATTAATTGCAACACTTCCTCAATATGCTTTCTCTTCTTGACCCGACATGCGGCTTCAATATTCATTGCGTTGTAGTAGTGGTTACTCAACCTTGTAATGTCGATATTGTGGTGACAGCATTAAGACCAAGTGAGGACAGACATCCATACACACAGTTCATTAGTGTTAAACAAAGTGATATGAGCAGAACTGGCAGGAGTGTAATGAAGGTGCAACAGTTATTAAGCCAGGCAGCTGTGTGTGTGTGTGTGTGTGTGTGTGTGTGTGTGTGTGTGTGTGTGTGTGTGTGTGTGTGTGTGTGTGTGTGTGTGTGTGTGTGTGTGTGGTCCAGTTGGAGGTCCTCATCAGCTGACACACAGCAGCTCCTCAGCCTGTGGAGGAAGCACAGCTCTCTGAATAACAGCTCACAAGTGTTTTCAGAGCAGTGACATTGAGTTTAAGAGAAAAGGGCAAACCCTGCACTCTGATCAAATCAACATAAGTCAAATATGAACTCATCACTCTGATAAGCAGACTGTACCAATAGATGTTACCCTAACAATGACTTAAAGAGGACATATTGTTCTCATGTTCAGGTGTATATCAGTATGTAGTGTCTCTACTGGGACATGTCTCCATGCTTTAATGTTCAAAAAGCTCTTTATTGTTCTCATACTGCCTGTGCTGCAGCACCTCTTTTCACCCTCTGTCTGAAACCAGAGCCCAGTCTTCTCTGATCGGTTAGCTGGCTGGCTCTGTTGTGATTGGTCAACCACTTAAGAGATTTTTTATTATCTTGTGTCTCTATAGTTACCGGTTAATGCTATAACCCCTGACTGATACTGGATTTTTAAGGCCAAACACTGATTTTGGTATGTAAGAGTTTAAAGGAATATGATAATTAGAATATCCCTGGCAGTTAGAAAAGAATAGAACAAATAAATGTTGTTCTTTTGTTTTAATAAGGAAGAGGATGAGGGCCAGAATTTTGACTTCAATCTCAGAATTCGGAAAGTGTACGGAAAGTGTACTTCGTTAAATATTCAATTCATATGTTCAATTAAGTGAAGTAGAGGCAAAGAATTGAAGGAAACTAAAGTACCTAAATATTGCACTCTAATAAACCATTATGAGTATATTAGAATCGTTCCAAAATCCATTTTCATTAAGATCCCGTATAGAGGAAATACTCTCACAAAAGAAAGTACAGGGATTTCATCAAAACGTACAACAACAAAATATTGATTTATGTATTTCGGTCACTATGGATCCAGAAACGTTCACTACGGCCTCTGTGATCAGCATCAACCCGAATCAAGGTGTTCTGATTCTATGAAGCCTGGAGGGGTGAGGTCCGCCCACACTGGAGTGAGAGCCTCCAGACCTGGCCCCACTAAAGAAGGATGATTTGGAGTCAATGGAGACTTGGGAACTGACCTGAGCTAAACTACCTGCAGTGACAATGCTACAGCTTCAGCGGTTGGTGGTTATTAAGAGGTTCATCATTTGGGTATTTGTGGAATGTCACGCAAAGCATCAGAGAAAAGGAAGTGTAACATAGACATGAGGAATGGTGGGCCTTACCTCAAATCTAACTCGTCTTCACTTTGTCTTTTACAGACACAAGCTTTTCTTCACATTCCAAACTGTCTTTCTTTTCCTCCGTCTCCTTGTCCTCCTCCTCAACTTCTTCCTTCTCTTCTTCTTCCTCCTCCCCGCCGAGTATCACGCTCTGTCGCACGCTGACGGAGATCACCAGCGCCTGGATGATGCCGTAGATCAGGGCGAACTGAGGGAGGTACTCCTGGATCAGCCAGAGTAGCCCCGCCATTCCCACCGAAGACACGAAAAACATGGCCATGCCGTGCAGCCACAGCCTCAGAGGCCCCTGCACCCCGAACACCTCCAGGATCAGCTTGGTGGGGGGGGACACCGTCCACAGGAAGCCCACCACAAACAGATCGAACAGGTGGCGCAGGAAGTTGAAGCAGATGTCGTAGTGCTCTGGGAGGATGTCCACCTTCCAGCTGTTAGCAAAGAGTCGGAAAGGAGATGAGGAAGGGGGCGTGGGAGAGGGAGGAGGCGTCCCGTAGTCGGAGAAGTCCCCCTCCCCGTCACCGTCACTCGTACCTCCATCCCGTTTCCTCTGTCTCAGTCCGCTTGGCTCGCCTTTTTCTGGCCATGAAATGTAAGAAGTTGGGAGATACTTATTCCACCATCTAGATTCTGGATTGGTCACCTGTTGCCTGGCGCTGAGGACTTCAACTTCTCTTGGCAGAAGCTTCTCCTGCGCCTCCCAGAACTCCTCCGCCGGACTGCTTTTCTCACTCCTCCACCCTCCCCAGATCCAGGAGGTCCAGCCCCTCTGGCCCTGTTTGCTGACTCCTTGCTCCTGGCCCCCTCTCACCTCTATGTTATTCTCTGACAAAGCACTCTTGCCCCCCCAGGAGCGCACCCACCCCCACGCTCTGCTCACCACAGCTGTCATGCTTTCTCACAGAGCTTGTTGGAGTTGAATTAAGATGCAGAGACTCTCAGCTAATCTGACTCCCTTATTGGGAAAGCATGCATGAACTGCCAGTGCTGAAGTTGTAATACTTGTTCAAATATGTCCTCAGGCCACAGACACACCTGTGGGTGTGCTGGGGCAGTGCAGCTGAATACCACGGGTGACCCCTCCTGCCATTTAGAAGTCAGGCTTCTCCTCTACATGTCTTTGGTTCAACCTGGCAACATTTGGAGCTGCCAAGGTTGCGTTCAGGAGCATTACCTTCAAATGTGCTTATGAGCAAGTTAGCACCAGCTAGTACACGTGAGTAGGTTGAGATCAGAGTTTAGGTTCAGCTCCAGAATGTTAACAATGTTGCTAGACAAACTTCTCAGAGACTCCGAAAACACATTGAGTCTCTCCTTAGATCTGCAAAAAACAAAAATACATACAGTTGGTTTATGCATGAGCTACATGCAGAGGGGGAAGAAGTTCTCAGAGTAAAGTACTAGCATCAAAATATAGTTCCCAAAGTAAAAGTAGTCATTGTGCAGATTGGTCCATTTCAGAATAATATATATGATATGTTTTATAATGATTGATCATGAAAGTGTTCTCAAAGCTGGTAAAGGTGCAGCTAGTCTGAATGACTTTGTATCCTGCAGGGTAGCTGGTGGATTTACTCCAGGTGGAACTAAAGTCTGATTTAACACTTGATTATATTTCACATCATTCATCCACATCTGTAAAGTAACTAAACGTATTGAATACATGTAGTGGAATAAAAGTACACTATTAATTGAATTTGTAGTGGTAAAGTATAAAGTAGCAAACAAGTAAAAAATACTCAAGTAAAGTACATGTCCCTCAGAATTGTACTTAGTAACAGTACTTGGGTAAATGTACTTGGGTAAGTGTAATAGTTACAACAACTACTTCCAATTCCACATCAATGCGGTTTAGCTAATGTTACACTGTGTCTTAGTTTAGTCTTAGCTAACCTGCAGGGTTGAAAACTCATCTCTTTCGACTCGACTTCGATGGATAGAATTACTAACAAATAATTGCTAACAAAGCACTTATATACTAATAAAGGACTGGCTTATATAAAGCCAGTTGAGTAGCACTTGAAATGTTTTAGCTCTATGAAACCTGATGTACTTATATGATTCTGTTTTTTTTCAAGTTTGTATCTTGTTGGTCGAATGCACTTATGTAAGTCGCTTTGAATAAAAGCGTCAGCTAAATGCAATGTAATGTAATAATGTAATGTACTAGAACAATAACACTGGTTAGCAGCGTCTGACAGCTAGTTTAACGCTTACTAACTATTTTCAGTAAACCATTGTGTTTTTTTTATCGTTTAACGTTAGCCAGCATGACAACAGATACTCGCTCACCTTCAGTGACGTTAGCCTGAGTTCGTGTCAAACCGTCAGCTAGCCTCCCCGCTAGCATCAGAAGTCGGACCACCGAGCGAGCTCCTGACCGCTGGAAACCGAGCCGTCAACAAACCGACGTGTTCCGGTTGGCGGTACATACATTCCGGACAGAGCTACCGGGCGACACGTACACAGCAGCGGGAGTCTGGAGTACTGACAGCGGGACGGAGACAGTGGGTGTTTCTCACAGTCTAGTAAAGCAAGCTTCTCCAAAGCCACTATTTCAAGCATACCACGTCATCGAGTGCCGCCGACAGGGCCGGCCCTGACCAATTTGCTGCCCTAGGCAAGATTTTAGCTGGCGCCCCCCCCACACCCTTGTGGCATGACCACCAAAACAGAAAAATATGGACACAAGATGTGTGCAAATGTATTCAGTTTCCTATCCATTTGAACATGATTTAAGTGGGGGGTGGACCTAACCTCCTCGCGGGGGGTCCGGGGGCATGCTCCC